GCGGAGATTCCGATGAGAAAAAATGAGGGAAAACGACATCTGATTAGATGCTGGGAAGAGATTAAAATGCATAGACAGTTTGATCGTTTATGAATCACTTTTGGGGCTTTTTTCTGTTCTTTGATAGAGGAGAATGTGTGAAAAATGAATGTTTCAAAGAAATTACGGTGATTTTTATTTAAAAATTTCTTTAACTTTTACAGTTTTCTATAATAAAAAGCGTTTTTTTAGAAATTGAGCGTTTCATTTTTGAAATCAGTTGCTATTTTGGGGTTAAAAGTTTCAAGTTCAAAGATAAGCAAATCCAGGTTTCAAAATTCGGCTTCTTAAAAGGCTGAACAATCGATTAATTGAAAAGAGAGTTGAATCTATTTTTAGAATCAAAAAAACACTCGCAACGATCAGTTTTGTAATTGAGAAGCCCGTAGATAAATGATTCTTTTGTATCTTTGAATTTAACCAATTCTTATCGTCAAATCCGTCTCCTAAAACACATCCCTTTCCCCATTTCTACCGTAATCTTTTCTCTATTTTTTCCAATCTCTTTTTTTGCTCCTTTGTGAACAGAATCAGACTGTGAATTAGTTAAAATCTTATTATTTGCAAGATTTTTGCGATACCTAGCTATCTAAATCTAATTATTAACTCGTAAAAAACAATTCTAAACCCTGAACAATGCTCAGCCAATAAAATGGGGGCAATCCGACGATAAAATTCCCCACCTGCGGGCGGTGTCTCTTCATCGCCAAAAAAAGGAAAAGAAAAGACAAGTGATGGCCAATGGGAGATTGTCTTTCCTTTGTTTTCCCCCATAAATTCACCCCAGCAATAATTTAATAATTTCAAGGAGCACTTGGCAAGTTTTTCGGAAGGATTTTGAGATTTGATTTCACCGAGTCACTGGTTTTTATGTTGTGAGTGAATTGTGATGTTGGGGACCGATAAAATGTTTTTTTTGCTTGTTTTAAAAGTTGAATCCCTTGAAATACATAATTCTCGAAGATACATACAAAAAAATTCTCCTGTTTCAAAGTGAACACATTTTAGAAATGATCCAAAGCAGTAATTCATCGATTTCGACCGTGAAAAGTTTGAAACACAAGAAAATTTTTAGAAGAAGATTACAAGTCAATTAGTCAAGTCAGTTACAAGTCAAACTACTTGCCTTTGGGAAGAAATTCTCAAATTCTTGCTTTTAAATAAGTCTTTATGTAGGCAGAAAAGGAAAAATAGCGGTTAGATTACGGTAGTTTTTTTGAAATGGATGAATTTTAAGAAATAGTTTACTAGAAAAGACAAATTTCAAACAAATCAAACAAAAACTTTCAAAAATCAAACTTTGCGATGAAAATGAGATAACAAGATGAATGTGGTCAACGGGTCAATGAGAGAAATCAATCATTTGCCTATGAGTTTCTTTTCTTTCAATCTAAAAGATCTTTTTTTTGTTTCTTTTCTCTTTCTTAATCATTCTTTTAAAAAGAATGCAATGAGTCAAGGCTGAATGGATGAAGAGAATGGAAAGAAAATGGAAAGAGAATGATCGGAGCTATAGATTATACAAATAGATAGATGACCGTCTCTTTCTTATGAATGTAAGAAGACTTCTGATCTAACCGATAAGTGCCCTTTTTGATTGGAGAACAATGGGCTATTGGTTTTGGGCTAACTATTTGTACTGTACGGTACTTTTAAACTGTACTTCTGCTTCTGCTCTGTTAAATCTCGTAAATTCGTCGGCCGTTAAACTTTCAAATTACAATTTGTACTGTTCAGCAACCAAATTGTATTAGAACCAAATTCTTTTCAAGTTTTGAAGCAAGGAAAACGTGCGAAAGCTTAAAGTAGACTTTGAAATCAGGTTTAAAATTTTGCCCAGTCTTTCCGTTAAAATTTGCAATTTAATCAAAAATGGAAAAACTGAGTTTCAAAATAATTAGATACCAAACTTTGATTTAAGCCAACAATCAAATGGCACGAAACATCTTGTAGTTTTTCCCTTTTTAACCTTTTTAACCCCTTTTTTTTTTTTTTTTTTTAACCCTCGTAAACTCTTGTAAACTCTTGTATCTTGTAATCTTGTAATCTTGTAAAAAAAAATCTTGTAAACGCATCAGCAAGGAGCAAATTCCAAGCAAAAAAGCAAAGCAGCTCAAAGTACACATCGACGAACTACTTAGCTCTTCTCTTCGAAATAATTAGATAAAGGCAAACGAAAGCAAGTAGATACTAGGTTGGTGCAAATGAAATTTCGTTTTTTTACAAACATTAAAGTCATCCAAAATTTTTTTTGATAACAATTTATTTAAAACAATAAGCACCATTATTATCTATGACATCCCTCCAACGTTGCTACAGATTGCGGATCCCCTTCTCAAAGAACGCTGATTCTGTGTGCAAAGTAGTTGGTCACCAATTTTCGACTTCTTTTGCATTCTTAAACTGGCAATTCTCAAGGGAATGTTGCATCGATCTGAAAAGGTGAAAATCGGAGGGTGCTAAGTCTGGACTAACGGCGCTGTGGTAAGACCTTCCACCCTAGCTTCTCTGTTCCTTACAAGAGGTTTTGCCGTGTGAGCTGGAGCATTATCACGGAGAAAGTTGATAGTTGAGGGATTTAGGCCTTTTTCACGCAAAATTTCGTCAACCTTCTTGGTTGTTGAATAAAATAAGATGAATCGACTGTTTTTCCGGGCTCTATAATTCAAAATGAACAAGTCCATTGATATTCCACCAGCAAGACAACTCACTTTGCGCCCATGATAATCCGGCTTTGGAGTTGGAATTGGCGCTTGACCTTGCTCAGCCATTGTCTTTTTCGAGAAGTATTATCAAAGTGAATCCACTTCTCATTCATCATCAAGATATTCTCAAAAAAATGGCTTCTTTTCGACTTCTGGAGCAAGATATGGCTGATCGGAACGCGTGCTCCCAGATTCTCAACACTCAATTGATGTGGAACCCATTGTCCATTACGATTTGTCTTTCCAATTATTTCCAAATGGCGTACATTGTTGAATTGGAGTGTTTGGCAAGTTCTCGTGTTGTTTGCATTGGATCAGCTTCAATTCATTGTTGTCGTGGCTGTGGCACGATGTCCATGCGTTCGTCTTCAAGGGATTCATTACCATCTCGGAATTGGGCAAACCAGAGCTGGCATGATCTTTCGGTGATAACCTGTTCTCCAAAGGCGGATTCACGATGTGAATCAGCAGCGTTTTTGCCCATTTTGAAGTCATAGAGAAGTCATAGAGTCATAGAGTCACACGTGCGCAGAACATACTTTTGATCCACCATGATCTAAAGCAAAAATCAATTAAAAAGTGAAAGCTCTGACTTTGAAAAAATGCGAAAATAAAGTAAATATCCAAGAGTACAAATGCACAAAAGAACATCAAATAAGCTCTTCAGATTAAAAAAATAAGAACATTTTATATCGACCGAAATTTCTTTTGCACCAACCTAATATTAACGTCGAAATTGTGAATGAAACATTGGGCTTTCTTTCAGTCAAAAATCTAAATTTTAAAGTCTTTAAAGTTCAAGTAAATAAAGTAAATAAAATGTGAAAACAAATCGCATGACAATGCCAGTCAAAATCATCCAGCTTTAGCCAAATATTTGACTAATTTGACCGAGAATAATGGGGAACCAATGCAGCTAAAGAGGCCAAATTTTTGAGCGAAGCAAAATGTTTGCACAAAGGATTTGGCTTCCCATTTGTGTGCCTGAACGAATGAAGGGATCGATGACCAAAGTAATGATAGGGAACGAAAATGGTGTGTAAGGTTGCAGGGTGTAGGTTTAAGGGTACAGTTTAGACTCGAAAATCTCGAACATTCACTAGGCACACTCAATTTCTCCATTTCCCCCTCACATTCAGTATTTGAGTCGATTAACTGCTTATTGATGCCATGAAAAAAAAGTATGTTTCAAGATTTGAATAGGTCAATAATTAAGCTCATCAGTAGTGAAGCGAAGCGATTTTTTTTACTGATAGAAAAATAACTGGTTTCAGCTGATGTAGACGCTGAATGGGTCAAGCAATTAGCCTGCCCAAGTCAACCAAGCTCTACCCCTTCCAGGTGAGTTGAGTGCAACAAGGGGATTAGCGCTCATCCACCCCAGCCTCTTTTTAGCCTTTTCACCCTTTTCCAGTACTAGGATAGGTCAAAAAGACGAAAACAAAAGCCCTAAAAATTGGTCTAATCTGAACACACGAACTGGATAAACTGGGCAACTAATGACCACCTGGTAATGGGTAATTTTTGGATTTTTGTTGGATTTCCGTTTCATAAACAAAATTTTTTGACTTAAATTTCATGAATTCCAGCGATTTACTAAATTTTCTAATCAGAAAATAGCTTCTTTTTTTGATTAATTTGGGTTTTTTAATGAAGCTTTCTGTAGAACCGCTTTGGGATCAATTTTTACCCAAAATTTGACTATATTTTTGTACAAAATCTACATTCTGAGTCAATTTTTGAAAGATGATTGAATAAAAAGTATTGTAATGCAAAAAAAACACATTCTGAAATTGCATGTTTCAAGTTAGTTGAAGGCTGACGCAAAAGTGCAGCTTCAATCTCAATCGAAGGTGGTGTCCCCAATCGAATTCATGTATTCTTTGCCTCGTTTTCCCTTTCAAATAAATCTTTTTATCATTTTACCCATATATAAAACTATAGTTATATTTTGAAAAATACACGCATATGTACACAAAAAAAGCACTAAAAAAGTACTAAAAAAGTACTAAAAAATGGGTGACTAAGAAACTAGAAATTCAAATGATTTTCTCAAATGGGGAAATTATTAAATTAAAAAAACGAAAATTTTGCAACGAATCTATAGCTTAAAATTCCTGAATTTGAAATTATTGACAAAAGACTGAAGAAAAATGAAAATAAAAGCAATAAAAGCAATTCCTGTAAAGTTGAGGCAGTTTTTTATGTGCAGCTTCTCTTCGTGAAACTCAATTTTTTGAGGTATTTCATTGATCATTTCTCCTCCATGATTGTCGGAGTACTTTCCGGCTTGTTGATTGGATTTGGTGATGGCTTTGGGCTTGGTTCCTGCAATTTTCTTTCATAAAACCCATAAATAACAGTTTAAACAACAAAGTAACAATATTAAGCAAACTAACATATTAAGCGAACTTTTTGAATATTGTGTTTCAAATTTAAGTATTTTAAAGCCAAACAGATAAAATCAATGATAGTTTCGGCCCTCACGGTTTACTTTACGCTCTGCCTTTTTTGCTTATTGTAAACCTACTTTTTCTAGCGCACTCAACTACTTCTCAACTACTCAACTACAATTGAAAATGTTATTTTATTCTTATCATTGCTTTTCAACTACAATAATTAACTCTGTACATGTTGAAACTCAAGCTTTCTCACCCACCATTTTCAGCATTCCTGTGTAGGCGACGGGGAGGACGATTTTCGGGGAATTGTTCGTGTGTTGCCGTGTCAACAACGAGATCTGCTCCCGATAAAGGCTCACCTGGTGCTCAAGTGCTCGATTCTGAAAAGAATTTTGTTAAATTTGATCCATGCACGGGTCTTTGCCCGTCCAACTACAATTCCCAATGAGATTTTAAATGAATAACTTTAAAACATAAATCTAATTCATCATATTTACTGACAATAAAGCGATACAATCGTAAAATCAGATTTGAAGCCGATAACTTTGAAGCATCGATTTCCAAAGCAAACAGAGAATAGTTACCGTATTTTCTCTAATAGTAGTGCACCGCGGCGAGCCGAGTTGGTGACTATTTTACGGTTTCGCAGGAGCTCAACACTCAAATCCCCCACTAGATCTCATCGTCAGCTACTTCGTCAGCTACGTCAGCTATCGTCAGCTACGTCAGCTATCGTCAGCTACGTCAGCTACAAGATCTCATCGTCAGCGTCAGCTACATTTTCCGACCCCACATCGATAGGTTCTGATAAGCGGTTCTCGAGATTTCGAGCAATTTAGACGACGCTCACAGGGTGCACTACTATTAGAGAAAATACGGTAATTTAGAAAAAAACTATCAGCATGTTGCTTTGAAATCGATGTTTCAAAGAAATCACCTTAAAATATGATTGAAAAGGTTTAATTTGGAAAAAAAAACTTTAATATTGACAAAATTCCTTGTATCTGGACATCTAAAGTTTCAGTTTCACCGAAAATTCGGAAATTGAGCTATTATATTATATTTTTAGTTTAATTATTATTATATTATAAAAACTTTGAAAGTGATGACCCAAATCTCAATTAAACAAATATCCATAAATAAAATAAAGTCTAGAGATCAAATTTATGGTTAATTGAAAGACTTTTGAAGACGTTAACCTTTTTTAAATGGTTAAATTTCTTTTTTATTTCAACATTATAGCTGCAAGATCCTATTTGAAGCCAATAACTTTGAAAGAGATGTTCTAAAATCAATCTTATAGTCATGAAGATCATCAACTCATTACAGTTATCTTTTCCCATTTCAAGCTGATCATATTGAAACATCGATTTTGCATCTTATAAATCATCATTTATCTTTAATATATCTTCAAAATATGTTTAAAAAAAGAAGATTTTTGGTATTTTTAAATAGGTTGACGCTTTTTTTTGAAACACAAAACACTCACATGCACTTTCAGCTTCTCGATCTCAAAATTTTGCTCTTTGTTGGCGCGGCGGAGGGTGTCCAACTGGAAATTTTCGTTTGTTTATTTCAAATATCGCCTGTTGATCGATGAAAATAAATGTTCAATTCGACTTAATATAGTTTATTATATTCTATCGTCTTAAGATTTATTTAATAGCTTGATTGATATTTTGAATGAAAATAGATGTTTCAAAGTAAAAGAGGCTAATCGCTTTAATAACAAAACGTTAAGTTCAAATAAATGTGATCAGCTTTTCCGTGGTGTACTTCGAGCTCGAAAATCTCGTAAGCACCCACTTTCTGGCGCACTTAATTTTCCAAATTTTCAGCCATAGCAACGAGAGATGAATGGAAGAATTAAGTGCGCCAGGAAGGGGGTGTTTACGCGGTTTGGAGAGCACATAATAAGTTGAACGGCTTAGGCTTAGGCTAGGCTTAGGCTAGGCTTAGGCTAGGCTTAGGCTAGGCTTAGGCTAGGCTTAGGCTTAGGCTTAGGCTTAGGCTTAGGCTTAGGCTTAGGCTAGGCTTAGGCTAGGCTTAGGCTTAGGCTTAGGCTTAGGCCACTTTTAGATTATCTGCTTTCAAAAAAGTTTTCTTTGCTCCATCAAAAAATACGAGTTTCAAATTAGTAGTGGTAAAATGGGAATCCTTTGATTTAATTCAAACGATGCGGTTTGGGAAGCTATTATAAACGATTAATAATTCCGCGTGAATATTCGTGAATGACAAACCTCTTGTACTTTCTGCTGTTCCTCGAGTTTCTTCTTTTCCCGGCAACGGGCCACCGCGTCGGCGTTTCGTCGCCGGTAGTCCTGATAGATTGGTGTTTCTTTGATCTGAAAATGAACGTTTACTGAGCAAATTTTGATCTAATAGGGTTGGAATTTAATCTAGAGGTAAAATAAAGAAGTTTAGCTCAATAATGACAACTGTCCAACAATGGGGAAATTTGTTCACTTCTGATAACTTCTAAGAATTGATTTTCAGAGCCACATTGACTTGCTAGTGCTAAAAATTGAAACTTTGATCAAAAAGATCATTGTTAACTAGGTACGGTTATTGCAACGCAAAATATTCAATTCAAAGCCGACTGTAAGTCTTGGCCTGAACACCGGAGCTTTAAAAGAAACGGTGTTCACTCAAGTTTCAAATTGATCAAGATTTAAATGATCATTAATGGTAAATCAAATGGTAAATCATTTGTGAGTAATGTGGATGATTTGTGAAGACAGACAGCCCACTTTTAGATTATGGAAAATTGATTAAACCAAAAATAAATTAGGTCAAAATATTGACTCTTTACAGAATTTACATCCGCTAGCCGTTTAAGTTGAAACTATAAAAATAACAGAAACTTTAAGGACTAATAGTAAAGCATTTATACTTCAAATTTTGAATGCATTCGCTGAAACTTACGGCGCACGGCAGCGGATTGTAGGGTCGACGCTTTTTCGCGTTTCCCTCCATCAAGTCGTTCATCCCTTGCGAGTCTCCATTTTTCTCCTCACCACTGCCCGAGCTGCGGGAGCCGCCGTCTTCATCGCTTACTGAAAAATTTCCAAGTTTTAAATTTATCAATGCCTGGCTGGATCAATCAAAAAACAACGGAAGCATCGGCAAAAATTTACAGGTTTCAAAGTTATGTAAGTTTGAATTGTTTTGAGAAGGTTAGTTTGGTTTTGGGTTTATCTTGGGTATCTACGGTAGAAATGGTTTAGAAAATGATTCTATTAATCTACCTGAAACCCGTTTCCTTGCCGGGAACTCTTGAGACGAGGTTGGCGAAAGGGAAGAATGCGACGAGCTTGAGGTTTCTGAAAAATTATGTTTCAGGCTAGAATTAGAGGTATCACATCATGATTATGCTGTGTTTGCTTCTTCGTTTTCTTCAAATCTTTCAATTTCTACAGTACTCTGGGACCAGCACCAAAAAAAGCTTTCCTCCCCACCTGACGGCGTGACGTTATTCGAATCGCTGTCACTCCGCGCCAAGCTGATGAACAATGGGCTCTCCAAGGCGTTATCCTGCGCATAGCCTGAATAACTTTTATAGGTAAAAAGAAAGTAAGCTTTGGGTTAATGAAGCCGGTGGTGCAGATTAACATCGAAATGGCTCACTGAAGCAATCAAAAAGTGAAACAAACATTTCTAACAAAAATAGTTTTGCTTGTTGCCAAAGGCTTAGGATTTTAGGTTAAAAGGATATTAGGAATTAAAGAAAAACAGATTTTCAAAATTTATTTATTTTACCCAAAGCAGCCGGTGTGCTCGTCGTTCTGGATCGGAAAAATTGCTTGTGCCGGAATTTCGGATGAGACGGGAGGCTTGCCTGGAAAATTCGATGTTTCAAAGTAAACAGTTATGTAGCTTCTGGAGAAATTATAGTGGGGTCTTTGTATTTTTCTTCTGGGATAGCACTTCACTCAATCTTCTCAATCTTCAAGTCCTACTAGAAAATTTCCTTAGCTTGCTTTTGCTAGATAAATAGAAAACTAAGTTTCTAGTTAAACGGTTAGAAGAGTATCCAATAAATGCAATACGCTATTTCATGAAATGACACCTTCCAGACAAACTATCGTAATCCAGCCGCTAGTTTTCCTTTCGATCAGCCCAATTTTGAGAGCATTCACTGAGCCTTGTGATCTCTCATTGAATCAAAACAAAATTGAGCTGATTCAATGAAAAATAGAGGGTGGATTACGGTAGTTTTGAGTGTAATGGATCTTTAGGAAACGGAGGTTTTTTGTTTCCCCTTTCCTGACTTCTTCATCTTGACACTCCATGATGACTTCTCTCTTCGCCACCTCGTCCATCATTGTGCATCGATCTTTCTGATGTACGCTTCACCGGGTCTTCTCACTCGGTTTTCTTACCTGAAATTGGAATACGATTTTCTCAGTACTGAATTGACTTGAGGGAAAGAAGAAAGAATATTGGGACCAAAAATCTTTACTCTTTAGGCAAATTGTTGGAAAATTGATTAGTTAGAATGGGAATTAGAAATTAGTTTTAAAAATCGTTTCTTTAGTCCCTTCAAAATGAAATAAGCACTTGAAATTGCACTTTGAAATTGCAAAAATTGATTTTCAAAGAAAGCTGTACTTCAGAAGAACGGAAATCAAAGTCAAAAAGAAAAAAGAAAAGTTTAATTCTTGCCTATTGCGTAAGAAAATTGTTTTTTGAAAAAATTTCAAAGAATTCAATAATTTTGAAAATTCTAAAGAAAAAAAACAAAAAACAATAAAATCCGTTTCACTTTCGAATTTTGAAATCCTTTGAAACAATGTTTATTTGTGAAAAAAACTTTTTGGTGGGGTTTTGGTGGGGAAAAGAGCTCTCTCGATCAATCGATTCAAACAAAGTGAGCCAAAGGGAAGGGAAATTCTTCGCAAAAAAAAGAGCTCTGCCTTTCTTATGACTAAAGAAAATTGTGATAAGTTAGAAATTTTTGATGTTTCAATCATTAGCTAACTACACGCGCCGTTTGAGTTGTCCCTTTTGAAACTTGAAAAAATTCTTGGTGCTGGTTAATTCCCGATCGGTTAAATGCCTCTGTACAAAGTATGATCAGCTTTCGTTTATCAAAAAAAACGCTAAACCAATTGTGCAACACTGATCCTAAAGGATCTTTATGTCTTATTCAGTCTAGATCATGGATTGAATTCATTGCTTTCGTTTATTTTGAATCAAAAGTGCCAAAGGTATCTATTGTAATGTAAGGGAATTTTGACGGGCTCAGATTTATTGCTAAATCTTGGATTTAAGCTAGGAGTAGAGTTTAATCGATTCAAAAACAGTTTAATCAAAAATTTTTCGTGTCGATTGATTAGCAATGAATTCTAGAACAGTTGAGTACTTTGAAACAAAGTTGTTTTGTTTTTTTTCTTCATTTATTAGTTACCATTTAATTGATTGACACTGATTTACCCAAGATAAGAAAACTTTGAAACAAACAATTTAATTCCCGAAAAAAAGAGCTTTTTCTGCAAAACTTCGATCGATTGTCAAAGGAAACACACAAAAATGCCAAAGTAAATTTTTTTAGTTAATTTGCTCGTCATTAAAATCGTATCCCCAGAAAAAAAGATTAAATATTTTGAAACATATCGTTTACTTTTCAAAAAAATGATCTAAAAACATACACACACTAAAAAAAACGATCGTTTGTGGCGCTTTTTTTCGCGTTTTTAGGGCTGCTAGCCACTGCTGAGGCATCAACGACGCGAGAAAAATTGGGTGAAAGAGAAAAGATCTGCAGAGAGAGCGGAACGAGAACTGCACAGAAAAGAGTGACAAAAGAGGGAAAGATCCTATGGATGCACAAGAAAAGGTTCAGAGAAAATGGAGGAAAAGAGGCAAAAGACAAAGAGAGACAATTTGCCGGCAATAGCTCGGGAAAAGGAACGAGTGTGGCTGGGCCTCTTTGGTTCTTTGGCTCTTTTGGAGTTCCTTTTGCGTCTTTTGGCTTTCTTTTCTCGATCCTCTTCGATTCTTTGACGATCTTTTGCCATATTTTTGTCTTGATATTCTTTTATCATCTTCTCAATTCTACAATTGATTCCTGAAAAAAGAGTTTCAATGTTCATCTGGTGGAGTAAGAGCTCGTTTCAGAGTTTTAGCCATTGCAATACAGTTTCCACAAATCTTAGAAACCATGTTTCAAATTAAACGACTCATTTTTGAACACAAATTGTTAATCTCTGTCTTCTCAGACTTTAAAAAAAGCTTGCTTCAAAAAATAGCGTTTACGCCGAGAACGTGGGTTGTTAATGCTTGCACACGCCGACCATTAATTCAGTTCATTTTGCAATGATTGAGCCATGTTTAAAGGGTACGACTCATGCCGAGCATCGGAATTCTTAATGGAATCAATTCAGGATTACAAAAGGACCACACCAACCCATTAGCATTGTTTTCAAATTCTTCAGAGCTAAACTCAAAATTTTGAAACATTTCTTTCCCAGTCACCAATTTCCCCTTTTGCAGAAAAGCAAAAGAACTGTTAAACGCTTGAGAAAAAAAACGCAACGCGTCACACAAATTTTCGCGTCGCGTTTTTTTCGTTTGCATCTTGACGAGTCTCTTTTGCCGATGGATGGGCTGAAAAATCTATAGATTGGGTGCAGTTCGGGGAAGGAAAAGGAGAAAGAAATGCGGAAAAGGGCAAAGTGCCGCGAGTTTCGACATCTTTTGAAATAGAAAGGGACCAAAAAAGGGAAAAATCTCGAGCAATAAGGGAATTGAAAAAGTTTTCAAGTTCGAAAAAATTTACATAACTTATTTGAAACATATTTCAACGTAAGGAACAATTTAATGTCTTTGTTTCCTTTTGAATCGGGATAATGTATTTCTTTTCGTTCATTTCTTTAGCGTTTGTAATGGTTTAGAGATTGCATTTGACAATTCAAAGAGCTTGTGTTTCGAATCTGTTTCAATTTCAATTTCCAGACGAATGGACTGCGCAGAATGGGGTTTTACTGAATTCGAGTTTGGCGAAACTTTGAATTTACAGGGTATAACTCTGATAAAAGCCGATTTCAAGCTGGTTTACATTAGAATAGCTTCGCCGCGTGCTCATGATTACAATCAAAACAAAAGGACACAGCTCGAGAGGAAAATAGAAAGAGGAGAATGCAATGTGTTTCGAAATAGAAGGGGATCAAAATTTAAATATAAAAATTAAGATTATAAGTAAATTATAAATTTTTCTGAAGGTTACAAATTGTTAAACCGCTTACAAATTGTTAAACCAAATTGCTGAGCCGAAGATAAAATTAATCTGGTGAGTAAGGTCTTCAAGTGTAATACTTTGAAACGTGACAAAAATTTTTTGAATTAAGCACAAATTGAGCCAAATGAAAGACAGACGAGGGAAATGGCTAAGAAATAGAATCTAAAGGGATATTGAATCCTTAACCCTCTGTTTGCCAGTCAAATGTTCTACCACTGAGCTATTGGCCTTGTCTTGACAGATAGAAGAATAGAAGATTATTTTGGACAAGTAAAACCGATTTTGAAAGTTAAAGGTTAATGGAAATGCTCGAAAATAGCACTAGTTTTAGAACTGAAAAGGGGAGCACAAAAGTATCCAATTTGAAGAAAGCTGTAGAAACATTCAAAGAAAAAACAGACATTAGAAAGGGACATTAATCTACTGCCATCAAATCTGATCTCTAGGATTTTGAAACTTGAATATCCCAAGTGTAGAATTGTGCCGAAAATCTTGGATACTCACAAACGTTTTCAGCTTAAAAAATTTTAGAGTCAAACTGGCTTATCAATCCAGAAACTGACCGCAAAGAGTTTGAAACTTGAACTTTCTGACTCACGATTTTACTTTTCGTTTTTTAAGTAAATAAGTGCAAAGTACACAAAAGAAAATCCAAAATGGAAAGTATAAGTTTCAAAGTATTTAGGATTGGCTCTCAAAGTGCGAACTTAATTGTCACTATTGGCCTAACCAGAAAGTTTTGCGTTTTTGAAATTTTCCTTTAATTAGCCGATAAACGTGTGAGTTGCTTTAATTAAAAACGACTAATTATTTCATTTAGCTCATTATTAAGCAAATTTGAGTCCGCTTTGAAGCAAATCTGAACGAGAATTCCTGTTTTTTCCTAAAATCCTTTCAATGAACAAACGGCTTGGTGAAATGTTATGAAAATTAGTCTATCTGCTTAACTTTTCATTCTCTATTTTTGTCTATTCATATCAAAATAGATTTCTGCAACAAAAAAGGTGCTCAAATCAGAGCTTTGAGTTTGTTTTGATTGCTCGACTCGACTGCTCGACTGCTCGACTTAACGCCTTTAAAAAAATGAACTAACACAAGTTTTTCTGAATTTCTTAAAGGGCAATTTGTAAATAAATAATAGGAGTTTCTAATGAAAGAAACCATAAATCGATTGGTTGATTATTCAGTTCAAAAAGTAATCTTTAAAAATAACGGACAAGACTTTCCGGTCAGTCTGATAGAAAATGATTCCAAAATCTTCAACTGATAGAGAAAAGCTACTTACAAAATAGTTACTGTAACAGTTTTATTTATGAGATGAATCCGAAAATGATTCCAGAGTCTATGAAAATATTTGAAATTTCCAAAAACAAGCCAAGCTAAACCCGGATGAAAATTCGGGTTACTGTAGGAATTGAAACTATTAAATTGGCTTTTAAAAAAGCCAAGTTAATAGTTTTTAACTATTTCAACACATTACAATACTCTGGCAAATGGTAAAATGATTTCAAGACGTTCAATTGATCTTTTTTTTGGTATCTTGGGGACGGGTGAAAGGAAAGAAATCTTACGAAAGAGCTGTCTTTCGCTGGAAATGATTGGGTGTGTTTCGAAAGAGGTTCTCGTTTTGAAAAAAAGCAAAAAAACAAAACCCCCAAGCTCTCCATTTTTCCCCGGGAAAGTAAAGATTGTGAAATCGGTGTGAAATTTCGTAAATTTTAGTTGATTTGCGCTTTTTTAGCGAGATTTTTGTACTAGGCGTCGATTAAAAGTAAAAATGCGATTTTTACCTTTACAAAAGTGAAACTTTGACTTTTGAAAACCTTTTGAGTGATGTTTATCGATTGAATCACATTTAAAAATTCAATAAATGTGCTCAAATGTCTGCGGATAAATGGTAATTTGCTTTTTCTTTCCCAAAAAATCATCAATCCTTTATCAAATTTACATTCAAGACACAAATATTCATAAAAATTACAAAATTTTCCTTTTAACATGCAAAAATGTTACAAAGAGATCGGAAAATTTAAAGAAATTATCATAAGAAATCATTTAAAGCTTTTTCTTCAGATTTTTTTCGTAAAAATGAAATTTTGATCAGCAAGATCATGTAAAAATGTTAATGAAACATTTTGAAACCCACAAATCCGCGAAATTTACATCGAAAACTTCATCAAGAACATCGATTTTCAAAAAAATACACAGCAAACCGTAAAATGGGAAAAAAGATTCTCAGGACTGAAAATTTTAAGAATCGTGGAGGTACTGTAAAGTCCAATATTCCGTGAGTGACCTGCTTCGAATCCTTGAGCTTGGCCAAGACTTCAGAATCTTGACCAAAACTACCAAACACTTACAAATAGCTAACCAAGAATTTTCTAGTTCAGGCCAGGCCAGGCAAAAAGGCAAGCCAACCGTCAAAAGCCAACCGATGATCAGACCGTCAAAAGGTAAATCTGGCAAGGCTGGCAAGGCTATTGTAAAAGTCAAAAGGTAAATCTGGAGCTGGCAAGCCTACTATAAGGATATTGTGTTTTAGGATTTTACAGTACCTTCCTTAAAAATCGATAAGCTTTACAAAAAAGAAAGTTTTCTTTGGCTACCAATCGTTTTTCGTCAAAAAATTGTTATCCGTAAGTTTCTCGTGGGTAAATAAGGCAATTCTTGTGGTTGAATTTACTTTGGACAGAAAATACTGGGATATTTTGATTGATTTGAAGAGGCAAATGAAAAAAAAACCATGAAAATGAACAATTTTAAATCAAAAATCAACGAATTAAATGGATTTTGGCACGACAAAAAATTTTCGAGTTTCAAAGAGTTACGGGTGATTTGGGAATGGAAAGCGTTAATTGTGGAAAATAAACATTCTAAAATCAACCTATATTATAAATGGTTTTGCGAAAATTTATCGTCAATTTAAGCGCGAAATTTATAATGAAAGTGTTGCAAGCTTTCAAATATAAAAGTTTCAAAGTATTCGTGTATAGCAAAGGTATTAGTAAGATAATGCGCTTTCGGGCCTGGTTTCAATTTTGTTTTTTTCATATGCTAATTTTCATCGTCCGCTTCTTCTCCCCGCTATTAGCACATCAAAAATCTAAAAGTAAAAGCTTTATAATTATCTGTAATGATGAAGCACAGCTAGATGCACAGAAAACATATCTAGACTGTAAATTTTACTATTAGTAGAGCCCCAGCAGTGGCGGGGAAGCTACGGATGATGCAAATTAGCATTCATCTATTGCACGGAAGATACGGAAGCACCAAAATACTGAAATACGGACAATGTTACTTGGCTATCAAGAAAATTTGACAATTTTAAAACTTTAGAATTTTAATTTTAAAAATTGAAGTTTCAAAAAATTCGGTGTCAATTAGATTAAAGAAGGAGAACAAAGGCTCGGGTTCCGGTTTCAAATTGAAAGTTTCAATAAATCCGTGCTTAGTCCGTTCGGCTAAAATCTAGTTGGCTGGAATCATCCCAAAAAATGAATGAAGATAAAAAAGTTGGATTGTCAAAGAATTCCGGGTTATTTCTCTTCATTCTATTCCAGTTATTTTACAATCGCAGCTTGAAACATTTTGTCGTACCAAGGGTAATTAGATAGGGTAAAAAAATGGGTGAAGGATCTAGAAACTGTCGTTCTTCAGTTTTTTGTTCTACAGATACTCCTCCTCGTGCTCGTGGATCGTGCACATCTCGAATTCGACCTGGAAATTGAGAAACTTTCAATAAATGCACAAAGAAAAGTGGAATTAGGTGTCATGTTCATTTTAATTGTCAGTATTCAGCCGGATATCTTTAAGAATATCTTTAGATTCAATGAATTGAAAGAGATTCAAACTAGGCACTTATTGGCATACTATCCATTTTCTAAAAACCTTTCCAACATTGTCTTGTCAGCAAAAGATATTCAATCCTGTTAGCTGACTATTTTTTATTCAGGATACGTGTTGTGGGTAGTTAAATTATTGATAAAGTTGGTTTTACTTGTTCGGAGCTGTTGTTTTTGGATGAATTTTGAATTTCAAAATTATTGGCTAGAAATTGAAACAATCAGGGTGGATTTGATGGATTTGGGAATGGAAAGCGTTAATCGTTAAAGAGACCGTAAAAAAAGGAGGGAAAGACCTAATGTTCAAAATATTCTTGATTTAAAGTCTTATCATTTATCTAATAATTGCTGCGGTCTTTAAAACCAACTTTTACTTTTATCAGTATCCTACAATTAAACTATTCAACTTAAAGATGAAGTGAAGTCCCCAATCTCTTTTCTCACTACAGTAACTGAATATCTTTAGTAACTGAATATCTTTAGTAGATAAAGTAACTGAATATCTTTAGCTTTATTTAAAATTTTGAAAATTGCCTTGTTTTAAGAAATTTCGAGATTTTTTGCTTATTTAGTTAGGAAAAGATCGTTTTCAAAGTATTGTTTACAAAAGTTTTATATTGTTTACATTATTCCTGTGAATAAATGCTTTATTTAAAGTTGATGCCTACAAATTGAGACAATCAGAGTCAATTTGTCAAGCGAAAATGCGATCTGTGATTTCTTTTCTCTTACTATGGTAGCTCAGAGCTTTAAATGAAGTTTGTCAGTAGTTTGTCAGTTTTCTACATTTCATTTCATAACAATTTGAACATTTAATAGTTTTACTAAATACACGACCACAAATCGAGTGTTCTTTTCGGTTGTTTCATTTTCTAAAAGCCATCCATTTCAGCCAAATTTCAGCCAAAACCACCGTAATCCACCGTAAGCTCGATTCTCATTCGATCAGTCCAATTTTGGTATCTTTAATGAGCTTTTTGATTTCTTATGCTTATGATTTCTTAGCTTATGATTTCTTATCTAATAATGCTAAAATTGGATGAATCGAATGAAAAATGAGTGGCTGGATTACGGTAATTCGTTTGAAATGGGAGAAAATGGCTTACCGAGAAGAAGGAACTCTAACAACAATGCTAAAGGTTAGTAAAATCTTGAAAAATTCGCAACTCACCCGTTTTCCCAACGCCAAGACTGACTGAAGCATTCCATAAAATATCGAAAGAAAGGAAAAATGCGAAAATTTTCTCTCTGCGAAAACCCATTGATAGTTTTTGACGAGGTGACACCACGACAGAGAAATGAAATGGGAAAGATTTGAATGCGAGTTGAGGAAAGGGAAGAGAGCACGACGAATTTACGAGCGATCCTGAAAAGCTTATCACGATGTTAAACGACTACGGTAATTTTAGAATAAACTTTGAAATTAAAACATTTGTGTCCTAGTCTAGTCATTAAAAGATACCTTTCCTTTAATCCGTTTTCTAAACCATGTCCCCTTTCCCCTTTCTACCGTAATCTTGTCTCTATTTTTATCAAATCTATTCACTTTTTATCTGATTCTGTGAGGGTTTACAAAGGATCAAAAGATAAAAAAAGTGGATGGATTGGATAAAAATGAAACATGGAGAAAAAGGCCCCCTAAATTTGAAACTTGAAAACTTTTCCCCCACCTCTCCAGTCGAGTCGATCGACGGGGTTCGCTCGAGTTTCTCCGGGCTCTCGCTTGTCGAAGATTCTTCCTGAAAACATTGGATATTAATCTTTTAATGGCATTTTGTGGGTATTTTTCCCCGGTACAAGTTAAGCTAAACTAATTCAAATGTAGAAATTGAAGCGTTTTACGTGAATAGTTTTTGTAAAAACCTTCCTGTGGTTTTCCAGCAAAGTTGAGTTTTCAGAAGAGAAATCGCTTTTAAAATCGATTTAGCAGTGAATTCAAAAGCTTTGATTCATCTAGATGTACTTTGAATTGCTATTCTCCAATTCTCAAATTTGAGAGCTAGATTTAAAAAAAAGCCTGTTTCAAAGTTAGGCAAGGTAGCCTTGAAATCGATTACGTAATCGTCGCTGTATAGATAAATCAAAAGAAAAGCGCATAAACCAATGTTTCAATGTTACTATGTTAATTTCATTTTCCGATTTTCTACTTGATTTCTTTGAAACACTAAGCTATTCTTCTTGGATTCTTGGGATGCTAATGCTTTGAAAGTTGGCTAAGGATGGTTTAGGAAAGTTCGCTGCTAATGTTCGCTAAGGATGGTTTAGGAAAGTGATGTTTCAAACTTAATAGAATTCGTGTTCAAGTTTTTGCCATAGTTTGATGATGTCTTTAAGTAAACAAATTCTATAAGAGCCAATATTTTAAGTACCGTATGACCTGGTTTTGATGCAAAACATAGAAGAATTTCAGAATTAATTTTATTTTCCGAGCTTCCTACTTTATCTCTTTGAAACAATCAATTGTGCACAACAAACCTCGATCGTTTCATTTCCCGTGCCGACACCCGACGAGGCGCTCCCATTGTCCAACTCGAGCAACCATTTCTGGTGATTGTGCTTCAAATTGATCATGATCTCTGCTTCTTCCAAACCGGGGAGAACAGGTAAGAGACCGGCCTAAATTTAGGGATATGTTTAGGGAAATGTTTCTTCAAAATTTCATTTGTATCTAACCTGAAACTTGAACCCTAAAGAGTATTGGGTTTTGAACTGAATATAAACTGATTATATAATATAAAATCAGTCCATATAAACCCTGCAACCTCTTGGATATTTTTTGGTGTACTTTGTACACCAAAAATGGTTGCTCTTCAAATCCTATGAACACCCCCTTTCTGGGGGACTCAATTCTTTATTTCTTTGTCGAAAAATTGATTTGTCATTGTTGGGAATTTACCGAATCTCAAACTATTTAAAACTTAAAAGCTAGAAAAAGTGATTCAATTCGGAAATTCGATTGTATAGCATTGCAGTATTGTTCTGTGATTTACTTAACAATAAGTATCAAGCCATCAAATATTACAAGAGCTGAATTACAACAATACTGCAATGCTATACAATTGAATTTTTTGAAATAACCTTGAATGATAAAAAAAGTTAATTTCTGTGTTTTCTAATGTACTTTAAACAACTTTCAAATTCTCAAACTCAAATCCAAAAAACCAAGTTTCAAAATTGTTGACTTTAATTCAGAAACTCTCTAAATAATAAGATGGGATTTTTCGCATTGTGTATGAAATTTTTGGGTTTGAAACGCTATCGGATCGCTTAGCGCTTAGCGAGCACGCTTAGCGAGCAAAATTTCAATGATCCCATCCTTTTTTCTTAAATTCCAAGCAGAGATAAAATATTCTTTTCATTTTTTTCAGTCTATCAATGCTTTCCTTCAATCACCCATCGATTAAAACAAATTATTCACATTCGATGACGCCTTCTTTTGAAACTCGCAGTTTGAAATCAAAGAAAACTTTTTAAAGCTGATAAAACACAAGTAAATGTTAAATTAATGTTTTTCATTGCCTTGTGTTCTTTGTGCTCGTCCAAATCTCGTAAACATCCCCTTTCTGGCGCACTCAATTTTTGCATTTCCTCTCATAACACCAAATCGTTGCTGCGAGAGAAAAATAGAAGAATTGCAGTGCGCCAGGAAGGAAGTGCTTACGATTTGAGAGAGCAAAAAGAACATAATAATCAATGCATTCACCTCATTCAATGCGACGGCCAGCGGTGAGACGACGTGGGCGATGAAGGAATCTTGCAATTTAGCCACCTAAAAGCATTCAATTTAAAGAGTTCAATGCTTTGAATGGAATTAAATCTAGAACAATTAAATAATGATTTCTGTGCTTTTTGTAGCCACTCATTTTGCAAAATCAAATTTTTGCAAAAGAAATTCTATACCTGTGGATCGCTTCGGTCCATGTACGGGGTGACAACCATTCCGCGCCGCTTCTCCTCATCTCCCTGAATTGTTTTATTTTATAAAACATCAATTCATCAATTCATCAATGTACTGTATAACAATTTTTGGGTGAAAAAGATATTGGTTTTGAATTTTGGAGGGAGCAACAAAAGTAAGTTGAGGATTGTTAATGGTGTAGCGCTCAGAGAAATCAAAAAAGATCCCTATGGCTTACTGTTGTAAGCCATAGAGAGTTTCATAGTTTTAAAACTGAAATGATGATGTGAAAAAAAATTGCAAAATTTTAGGTATCGATTAAAGCAAAACGATTTGAAATGATGGGAGCTGGTTTGCTAGTTTCAAGTTTAGTGTTTCAAGTTTGTTTCAAAGTGCTAGTTTCAAGTTTATTCCTTTTAAATGTTCAAAGAGGTTTGTAAATCTCAACTTAAAAACTTGTAAAAATGGATAAGAAAAAATTTCCAAAAGAAAGGTTTCAATTTTGAGGCTAACCTAGTAATTCTGAGATGGTTAATGGACGGCCTGCAATGATAATTAACAATAATTAACAATTTTTGTAAACTGGTAGGCTAAAACTAGTTATGTAATCACGATGATTCTTTTAAAGCTTCAATTTAAGTGAGAATGGACTTGTTGACAGTAATGCTTTCACTTTTCCCCTGATCCAAGTAATTCAAGGATCGCCAATTGTTTTGCTCTTTGATTCCTTTGATTCCAGGTTAATTTCAATGTTTTTCGAGGAAAGCAAATGGTATTCGCATTTAAAAAAGTGTGTTTCAAGTTTAAATAAATCAAATGGCCATTGAGCTTTTTAATTGCGTTTCCTCTATCCATAGTTCAAAATTGACACCAATTTTGCAGGTGTCTGACACCAAAAAAAAAAGCCGACCTGTTCATAGAATTCCTCGCAAATCCTCTCTGTCCACTGGCGATGCAATTGATACGGTTTACTCGGGCTGTTGATGTCGGCCAGTTTGATCAACATTTTTGCAACTAACACCCGATCGGACTCATTCGACAGCTCCATGTCGGCAAGCTGGCAAGTTTTTCATTCACAATCACTAACTCATTCACTTTTTTTTTGAGCAAAACTGAGGCATCTCCTATTTTTTTGCAAAAACTAAACTTCAAGAACAAGAGGATTACTGATAGCTGGCCTGCGATGAAGATTCTAATAAGTATACTTTGTGCTCTCTCAAAGCCCGTAAACACTCCCTTTCTGGCGCACTGCAAGTCTTCCATTTTCCCTCACGACAGCCATTTGGTGTCACGAGGGAAAATGAAAGAATTGAGTGCGCCAGAAATCGGGTGTTGATGGGATTTAGAGAGCTTAAAGCACACTAAGAAAACTCATTATTTTTTGGGAAAATGGTTTATTGTTGCCGAATTTGAAACTCACTTTTTCGTTGAAAGCCATAATGATTTCAAAGTGTTGCTTCAAATCGGTGGCCAAGATATACTCAAGGACGAGATATCTGAAAAATTTGCGAAAATTGGAAGTAAAAAAATTATGGACAGACTCTTAGCTTTTAAATCCCTCAATTTGAAACTCTGAATTTTATTTTAGGCTGTTTAAGACTGTAAAGCCCCAGCCAGTTTCCCGGATAAAGTAGGTGGTCCTGCGTCATTTTCTAAACAAAGAAATAGGCCAATTTCATCATCTATAAACCTTGTTATCTATTTGAAATTTTGAAGTTTCAACTTAATTGAACTAAGCACTAATTAGCCGAAAGCAATCGGGCTATCTTCAACATGGTCAACTCGTTGGTCAACTACAGACTTTGGTATTAGAAGATAATCCTCTTTTCAAACTTCGAAACCTGAATCTCTTCGTCTCGGCCGCGTCGAGTCCCTCGATGAAGCAATTCTCCTTTTTCTGCAATAAGCGCCACGATTCGGCTGCATGGTGATTTTCGAGCACTGACCGATCGTTGTACATTATCGCCTGGAAGCTTATTGGTTACTTTATCGACAAAAACGATGACTCTTTCTCAAATTAGCGTTCTGCATTGTCCATGCACAGTCCCACAGAAGTAAAACATAGCCTTTTGATTCACAAATAATAAGCTTCGACTGTTTTTAAAAATGCAGTTTCAAAGTTATTCGAGTGTAGCTAGTTTGACTAAGTTTAATGCTTGTCATTGTCAAGTCCTTTCTGGCCACTAGTAATTCTTCCATTTTCCTCTCACAACAACGAGGGGAAATGAACGAGGAATGAACGCGGGGAAGTGAACCAGAAAGGGTGTGTTTTGGAAGAGCAAAGAGTACAACAACCTTGGAGTCCTCGGTGGACACGAGGAAAGCATTCGTCCGCCCCGGGTGATCGAAATCGTGCATGGCAGCCGCCGTGTATAAAGCCATCAGCTGAAATTTTTGAAAATGCAATTTTTGCGGAAAATCAGATAAAAGTTGAATAGATTGGATAAAAATAGGGACAAGGTTACGGTAGAAAGGAAAAAGAACATGATTTAGAAAACGAATTAAAAGAGTTGAAGATCGAAGATTTCTGACCTCGAGCGTGCTCATACTCTCGGCGACACTCGACGCGTCCAAGTCGAGATGCGAGTTTCGTTGATTCCCCGCTGTCGGGCTCTCCGGAGTCGGCGCTCTGCCAAGACAAGGGTGAACCTGTAAAGGAAAAATTATAAGGTTTTAGCTCTATCGAAAGCTACAGTACTCCTTTTCAACAACTGCTTAACTTTGCACGTTTTAATTTTGCAAGTTTCAAATTTAAGTCCCTTAGTGCCAAAATACAACCAAAATTTCACAAAAACGAGATTTTTTACATTAAATTCTCGCATTTTCCAATAATTGCTTCAAGCTTTACCGCTCTTTATACGCAAAATGTTATTTAATTTGTAAATCTATTTAGCTCAGTTCAGCTCAGCTCAATTTTTCGATCAAGGTCATTTAACACGTTAAGACAAAAATGTGAAAAAAGAGCCCCCAAAAAAAACATTAGGTTTCAAAGGTAGCGTGGTTCTGGGAAGGGTCCTCATACTAGTCGACCCATTGCAGAACCACGCTAACTTTGAAACCTAATGTTTTTGGTGACTCTTTTTTCACATTTTTTTCTTAACTTATTAGTGCTAATCTTGATCTTGACACTAGTCAACCAATCAGTCCTAAATAAAACGATTAACAATCAGTTCTATTAACAATGTTTCAGTTCTATTAACAATTAACGATTAACAATGTTCCCACAACTTCCCCCGCCCACTCAAAACCCACCGGATGACACGTCAAGTAGTAGACCCCGTGCAGCACATCGGCCGCATGGATTCGATTGTGATCTGAGATTTTTGAAAATAAATTGTTTCAAACTGTCAAAGAAATATGTAGAAAAGTGATCCAAGATCGTGTTTTTGACACGAGATGTTTTTTTTGTTTTTGATAGTGCCCAAGATCGTGTTTTTGACACAAGATTATCCCAAATTCAGCTTTAAATCATTTATCAATTACTTTAAAACAAATATGGCATTGTAACCAATTTAAATCAGTACAAAAAAGTTTCAGAATCTCGACCGAAATCCACAATTCCTGGTTTTTTTTAAATTGCTGATTGTGTTAACCAAAAATGTTAGCTTTTTTTGTATAGTAGACAATATTTTATGAACGGAATTAGGTAAATGAATTCTTGGCTTAAATATTGTTTCATTCTTACATGGAATCTCCCAATATCCTTTCTCCAATTGGTGAAAATAGTTGAAGAACTTTTGGGCGTTCAGTCGAAATATCCGAAAGAGATCCGCCTGTTTGAAGATCGAGTAGGTCAGCTGGAAAGATTTGCCGAGATTTGCCTGTTTTCTAATCGATTTTCTAAAATACACGAATTTCAGCTAAAACTACCGTAATCCACTGTCTCCATTTTCCCTTTCAATCAGCTCAATTTTAAGTATCATTGACTGAGCTTTGTGATTCCACATCGAATCATACCAAAATTAGGCTAATCAAAAGGAAAACTGGTGAATGGATTACGGTAATTTATCTAGAATTGGTGCCTTTTAGAAAATGAATCAATCTGGGAACACAGCGGTCATTATTTATCATTTAATCATTTGAATTTAATAATTTATTTATCATAATTCATAATTTAAATCATTTGAATTCTTATAATTTCTCGTGTTTCACATTATTTCACTAGTGGTTTAAGCGAAAAAAGTGTATTTTCCTCTTTGACCAACCCTCGACAAAATCGTCGTCCTGAACTTGTCGCTCATCTCGAAAATCGGCAAATTCCAATCACAAATCCTCCCCAAATACGGGTCCACCTCGAGCTCTTTCGGATTGTAAAAAGTGCCATCGAATGTGGTCACTGGACCGATTGAAGAACAAGGCTCTACCGTGTTACTGAAACATTCAAAATCATTTTTTTGTCATTCTAGTCATTCTAGTTTTTGTCATATCATATCTAGATTCTTTTAAAAGCACTATGATCTCATAAATATAGATATTACAGTAATATTATGGTTTAAACTGGGCCATTTGAGATTTAACCCCATAATATCACATCGAACGTGTGCAATAGCCTCGAAAATTTGATTTGATTTGATTTGAAAATCTTTGTTTCAAAGCTACGGTAGTAATTGTGAAGATTTGCTTGGCTAGTCCATCAGTGTAAAACACGATCAAAAGATTTACATTTAGTATCGATATATCAAAAGTTATATCGGCAAATTCTGTATAAATCCTAGTTGATGCCTTCTTCTTTCAGAGGAAAGCTCTTGGAAATGGGCTTGAAATGGACCCCTCACCAAATGGGCTTGAATATGTTACAAAAGTTTAGCTTAAATGCGCTTCGAAATAGCCGTTTCAAATTTGTGCTATTAAAACCATTTAGTCCTTAAGTAAATGCTGCATCGGATTCAAATTCAAATTCAAAATTCATTCAAATTTAAACCCACCATGTCTCGTCGCTTTCCACCTCGTTTCGTTGCCGAATTGTGCCGTCTTCGGAGGCGAGTGACGAGGTACTCGCTGAAGCTTTACGATGTTTAATAGAAGGGTTTTGTTGCCAACTAGTGTTTGATTTGGGTAAACTGGATTTCAAGGGGCTTATTTTGAAACTCAACTCCAACCCACCATCCAAGCGGTTACAGCTTGACGTCTCGTGAATCGAATCAGGGCCATTCGATGAGGTTTCCGGTTTCCAGTAGCTAAAAGTTTGCATTTTATTACTCGTCAACTCATTTTGCAATCAATAGCTAACCCCTAATCAGCCAAAATTTTGTAAATCCCATTTCTTTGCTGCTTTGTGATATCAAACTCAAAAATTTCCATGAAACTCTGGCGGAAAATGGGGATTTTTAAAACTTAAGGGTATGCCAGATGGGATTCGTTTACACGAAACACACATTTCTTTTCTAGAGCTTTTTCTAGAGCTCTGAGAATGTGTTCTAAGAATTTGGTCAGAATAGGCACCAAATGTTGGGCTTTCAACTGGCTTGACGAGTTTAAAGTGTTCAGAGGCTTCGATATGCAAGTATCTCTTCCGTACTTTGTGAACACATCGAATATTGTCGGCAATCGGTACAGCGACGGCCGGTGTTTTCTCCTTTTCCCCCGCCGGTTTGCTTGATGTTGATTCTCGAAGAGAACTCGCACCACAGGCCATTTCTCGAGCGTGAAACTCATGTTCTTCATTGGTGAAAAATTTGTTACAAGAATTACAGATTCAAGAGAATTTTCGAAAACAATCCATCCAAGTAGTGGTTTTCTGTAGGTTTAAATAAAAAAGCAATAAAGAGAAAAAAAAAGAGTTGTAAAAAAAAGTATGTTTCAATTTAGCTCAATAAAAAATCGAGAACGAAGCTCTAATGAATAAGTGATAAATCATTGATTTAGAAATGTGTTATAAGTTTGTCTCTTGATAAATTAAACCCTATGGATTTCTATGGTGAATCGAATTTTGTCGGAGGAAATATGAAAAGGAAAATTCTCGAAATTTATGATCTTTATGAGAAAGGAAACAATCAATTTGTATGAAAAATTGGTGGAATTTAGCTAATTTAGCTAGTTGGCTAAAAGAAATTGAGCTAAGGTCATTTCAAATCATTCAAAACACGCAACAAGAGGGAAGAAATTTAGATCTAGAAGCTGTGAATGACTCCTTAAAATAGGATAAACTCAACTTAAGAATCAAAAGATTTACATTTAGTTCTTTTGTCAGCTCAAATCTAGTTAACTTTAGTCTCAAGTAGCCTTCTGAATTGGTTAAGACAATAAAAATAAAGACAATTGATGCAAGTGTTAAGCGCTTGCCAACCCTCAACTTGAAACATACAGTACTGGACAATTAAATATCATATTCGAAAAACGATCGTCACTTTCGCGCGTCTGTAACGCCCATGTCTTTGAGTTTAAAATATTAGTGTTATACATTTTCCGAAAGCTCTTTTCAAGGGCTACACAATGGTAATATTAATATTTAGAAATACGGTAAAGACAAGGGAGTTATAGACGCGCAAAGTGGCGATCGTTTTTCAAATATCATATTTCATTGTCCAGTAGTGTAGCTTTACAAAAAGGCAAAAAAAGAATCGAGAATCCTGAACAGAATATTTCTTTATTAAAATTTCAAAAGCGTTAAAACTAGTGGTTAAATTTGAAACAAGAAAATTTCACGGGAAACGTAAAAACCGAAAATCCAAAGTCTACCTCATCTCACGCATCTGACTAAATACCTTTCAAATTCTCCAATTAAAACTAAAGATATTCAGTTATTCAATCCTTTTTCGTGGTACTGTAATGGAGGAATTGATTGAGTCTTTAAAGGCAAATGAATAAAGATCAAACGTTAAAGAATGACTCAATCATTCTGATGTAACAAATATTTACGAGTGGAAGTGAACTTTTTCCGAACACAGAGAAATCTCTAGAGAAAATCGGATTTACTCCGGCCAAATTAGTGGTACCGAAAAATTTCTTCAATTTTTGAAACCCAAAATTTGTCTTCTTTGAGGTGAATATCGGATTTGCGTCAATTCACCCCGGCTTTTGAGGGGATTTTCCGTTTTTTTCGCCTTTTTTCGCGAATCCTCGAGATTTTTGCATTTCTCGGCAATCCTTGATTGGAGGTGGGGAAGTTTGCTTTACATTACTGCTGTGAAACCTTTAAAACATACGGGAAAACCGCAATCTAAGACTGATCGAAGAGGCTGTTAGCCATGAAACATTAATACAGTTTTACTTATTTTCAAATCCCCAAAGTTGAAACTGAAAATTTTCATTTTATCAAGTTTATTAGAAAACGGTTGATTAGAATTGTTTATTTAAAGGTTTGATTGTCGATTGGTGTACAACGGAAAAAAACGAACTTCAACGGCTACTTTGCTTGAGGTTTTTAGACCAAATAAATTAAAGAATGCCAATTTGTACGGAACACTTTGAGAAAACTTTAGTTTCAAAGTAATACGCTTTAAAGCTAGCAATTGTTTCATTATTGATTATATTATTCCATTGCGATTAAACTAAAAATAAAATGATTGTGAGCTTGGCCTTGGGAAACCCTACAGCTACAGCTTTCTGAACACCCGATACTTCTTTTCTTTATCCAAAACTTCCAAATTCCCCAATTCCGATGCGATTACGTGAAATAACGTCTTTTGCGAATATTTTTTTGATGAATTGGTGGAAAAAAGGCGAAAAAAACACGTTTCCAATTAACCACTCATTTCTTCTTTTTTGAATCCCGGATTAACGAAAGATTAGAGTATTTTTATTTGGTTTCTTCCTTTTTTTTCTTTTAAGGATTTTTTTTGGATAAATGGATTGACGCCAAGACTGGAAATCAATCAAAAGATTGGAATTTGTCAAAGAAAAAAATCAATGTTTCAATTTTAAGTATCAAGTTTGATGAACTTCAGAATCAATTTCTTTTTGAAATTTAGATTTACACTTCAACTCCTGGTGAAAAATCATCATTTTGAATTTTAGGACCAAAATTAATTTAAGTTTATCGAATTAAAGCTTGTTTAGTTTTCCAATTTTGATAAGTTCAAAGCTTTAACTTTAGGAAGGCTGGGAGCAATGAAAAGTGAGTAATTTTTAAGGGAAAATTTATGTTTCAAAGTTTAACGAGTCAATTTGAGCTGGTTGGATGGTAATGTCGTTGTCGGTAAGTGTGTCATGTCAAGAGGTATAGGGACAAGAACTTAACAATATAATAAATTCAGTGTCAAGGAATAATAAAAAGTTCTTCTTTAGAAAAACAGTGTTTCAACTTCTAGAATCTCCCGAAACAATTTTTGTGGATAGTTTTTTTCAAACATATTTCGTTTAACTCATAAATTTTGATGCTTTGGCTTCAGAAAACGAGCAAATTGGGAAAGAAATGAAAAATGAAATAAATGTTTCAAAATGCTCAACTCGAATCCCGTTTCAGGCCTGCTAATGATTGGTTGGAAAATTGGGAATTGCAAAGTATAGAATTCACATTTAATATTATATTATTGATAATATTATTCGAAGATTGAATAACAATATTATATTATTGAGATTATAGTGTAAATTCGTATCAAATCGCGTGTTTTCACACGCGATATTTAATCAAAAAACACAATTTTCCGGCTCGTTCGTTTTCTTTCCCTTTTTCTGAAAGGGAATCCAATGGATTTTCCCACAAATCCCATCAAAGAAAAAATTGAGGAAAATTGTGTGTTTCGGCTATGTTTTTGGGGAATTCATGATGGTTTTGGGGATCTATAGAAATATAGAAATTTGCAGAAACCTAAAAGAAGTCTTTATTTTAATATTGACGACAAAATTTTACACAAAACCTCAATTTTGAAACTTGCAAAATTCTTATACGTTCTCTTGGAGCAAATCGGTTTTCTAAAGGACACCAACTTCATCCAAAACTACCGTAATCTCCCCGCCAATTTTCCTTTCGATCAGCTTAATTTTGGTATGATTCGACGGGGGAATCACAAGGCTCAGTCAATCATACCAAAATTGGGCTCATCGAATGAAAAATGAAAATGAAATATAGTTTTTGCTGAAATGGATTTCTTTTAGAAAACGGATTAGTTGCGAGGAATGGGAAATGTTAGGTTTCAATTTTGAGGCAGTTTTGAGTATAAAATGTGCTTTAATAATGTTTGTTTTTCATAATCTTAATAAAAAAAATTTGTGTTTCGGGGTGAACGACTATTCCGTCGTCGCCATCGAATGATTAGTGGCTCTTGCTGCGTATCCAAATTCATAACTTATCGAATTGTAAACATAATAAACTTTAGAGCAAGTATATTGATTTCCGAAAGCAATGAAAGAGGAGAAGAGGGAAAAAACGGAAAATGAAGGGGAATTTCTCCTCCGATTTGATGAGCCGTGAAGGAGGACCTCCAAAGGGCTTAATAAGGTGAAAAAGAAGGGAAAAGGATTGAGAAAAATTGGAGAATTTCGAGAAAACCGGGGAATTCCAAGAGATCACGGAAAGAGAATTTTTTCGTTTCAAAAAAGCCTCCAAGAAATACTGAGATATTGCTAGAGGATTTCGAGAAATCTCGGGGATTTTGGGGCAAGAATGAAATTACGGGTTCTGGAAAAGGGGAGGGTCCGTAATTTCCAGAGAGCTCTTTCAATGTATAATTTTCCTTGTGGAATGGAAAATGATAGCCTAAGCTCACAAGGCTCGGGTTCAGATCGTCTAAAAAGCTTGGTCTGAAAAAGCCAAGCTCCGGCTCGACGCTTGTCCTGACTCTCAATTCGATTCTATTTCGATACTAGTAATTTTTTTTGCTTTTACTGCAAAAGAGTTTGTTTTGAAAGACGCCCAAAAAAACCCGCACCGATTAGAGAAAAGAGGCGGCTTTTTTGCTTAAGCAAAGTTGAAACTTGATTTTTTTAATGATTTCCAAATTGACTCAGGTTCTCCCCATGACTTCTCTGTCTTGGTTTTGCCTTAACTTTTTTGGCTGGCTTGCCCAAAATCCAAATCACGCCCAAGCCAAGCAAGCGAAACAAAAAACTTAAGTTTAAATTATTAGTTTCACCTTAAACAAATAAATAAAGCTAAACGGTTAGAAAATTTAAGCGTCCGGGAACGGCTGGCGGTCAGTTTGAGGGCTTAATTTTAATTGTATACGAAAAAAAATTCGATTTTTATTTTTGCTTGAAAATCTCGAATCCCGGAAATTCTGTCGCTATGAATTCTTAATGGTTCGTCGCCGCGAGAAATAGTGAGTTTCAAAAAGAGTCTCCACAAAACAAGGTAAAGGGTTTTAGTGTCACCAAAGCACTTTGGTTATACTTTTAAATGCTATAACTAAAGCAAAACAGAAAATTTGCTTAGAGTTTTTACATTAACAAAATAGTTGATCAATTTGAAAGCTCACTGAAGCAAGCTACCGTAAATACTGTAATAGTACCCCACCCCCCTCGTACAGTCGCGTAGTCGCAAAAGTTTTTTAGTATTTCATTTTTTGCAAAGCACCCGTACTTTCAAAAAATGCGTTTTTGGTATCAAAAAATAGCCCCGAATTTCAGCTATTTTTTGATACCTAAGCGCGCATTCTAGCATAAACCAGTGTCGAGAAAAACTCGTTCAAAGCTAGACTACGCAAAACTCCGCACCGTCATTATGGGGGTGGGGTACTTTTACAGTATTTACGGTATGCATTTGCGTAGGCATTTGCGGCTTCTAGCTAAGCATATTGAAACTTGCTTTTTTTCAATTCGAACTCAAATAATCAAAAAAAACTAAAAACTAAATTTTAGCATTCAAACGAAAATCGTGTTTCAATTATTGTAGGCATTTTTGATGAGTACTTGAGTCAATTTGAAACTCGACTTTTTTCAGGCTAAATTCCACAAGCGTTGTACGGGAAAATAGCTGCTTAAACGTGAAAATGAAATGACAAATTGACTAATTGTGTACTTTCAAAAGACTCAGCTATTAATCGTTAAAATTAGAGCCAATTTCAAGGTTCTTTATGGCCTAATATCAGTTAAATGAGATGAAAAAACGATATGTGCTTATTGGGGCTCATGAAAATTTATTCGCTTTTCACATTTTCCCCATCTTTTCTTCACCTCTTCAAAAAAAAATTCTTTTTTTTTCCAAATGAAAGCCCACTTGATGGATTGGCCGTTTGACAGGGAAAAGCACTCGGAAATGGGGAAAATGAGGCGCACGCCATTCGATATGTTTATCAAAAAGAATTTTTTTTTTTGAGGAAATGGAAAATTTGGGGATTAAGGGTTGGATAAAATGGATATTTCAAATGACTCAAATGTCCTCATTTTCTTTGAAGATCCAGTCTTTAAAGCCGGTAGAAATAGAATAGGGAGAGACTTGAATTTTTCAGCCATTCGAGCTTCGAGGAAAGGGGAATTTGTCTGTGCTTAGTCAATTGAATAAAATGCATTATCGATATCGATCGATTAAATTCATACTTTTAAAATAGAAGCCGAATGAAAGATGAAACTTGGACTTTGAATAACGATTTGATTTAATATTGGAGGGAAATATTGTAGAAACCAAGTCCAATAAGGCACAAAATGCGTCAGCCATTAAAAACCTATTTTCAAAACGATAGTTAAATAAGTTGAAACTTGGATTTTTAAAATCCAAATCCACTCTCACTCGACATTGTCGACAGTCATAAAACTAGATGAATGAATAACTTGAAACCTGTGTTTTCTCATCGAAAACCTGGATAAACTAAAAATGCTTAATGTAAGGACTTGAAAAACAATAATAGTAAAGTTTACTTAAAAAAAGGTTTAACAAGATTTTCGAAGAAAAACAAGCAATTTTATGTCAATTTTAACAATGGCCAAACAACAAAACATTGACCGGACAATTGCTAGCATTGACCGGACATTGACTTGCTAGCAAAGCTCAATAACCTGAAACCGATGTTTTCTGATCAAGAAAACTGGGAACGAGGAGAATTCATATTGGAGGCCTCGTTGGGTTTTTCTTCAGCGAAAAAATTCTCTTCCCTCTTTGTCTTTTCATTTTTCTTTTGTTACTTTTGTTTTCCCAGCGTCGAGGCGCGCCCTAATTGAGCAGAGACCAAGGAATTCAATAAAAGAAGAAAAAAAATGGAAAAACCTACGAAAATTTGGGAAAAATGATGCAAGCATGGAAGTTGTTGAAATTTTTAAATGCTTAACTAATCAATTTTGGGCTTTGAATGAGTTTAGAACAAAATCATCAGTGAAATTTTTGAAGTTTCAACGGAAATGGGATCGGAAAGGGAATTGAGGCAGTAGTTGCGGCAAATTGATTGAGGCTGTTTAATTTATTGAATCTATCCATCTTTTAGGAAACTAGATCATTTAAAACTGCTCTGTCAGGAAAGTTTTGGTGTCACGAGGGAAAATAGAAGAATTGGGTGCGCCAGAAGAGGTGTGTTTACGGGTTTCAAACTGAAGCAACTCAATTTCAGTGAGTAAAGGTTAATTAACTTGGAATTTTTTTTGTCATTTCTCGTGAATATTTAGCTTTAAGCCGTATTCAAGTACCCGGTTCAGTGCGAAATCATTTCATTTTTCAATGGACCCAACTCCTTGACTCCCTTTTGGACATTAATTCTCTTGGCATCATCAAGTAACTTTTTAGGGATTTTAAAAAACATGTTAAACCATCGATCGCACGATCTTAAAACATTTTTACACGTTCTGGAGTGTTTTTTAGAAATTTGACCAACCAGTAAAATCTCAAAGCAGCACAGAACAGCGATTTTTATGTTTCAACAAAAGCAGCTTTCTAACACGATTTCTAACGCCAATCGCCAGCTTTTCAAGTTTCCAAAGAACTTTCTCACCTCTCCGATCGACTAGAGCGGGGACGGTTCGGCTCGGCAGCAATTGTAGGCAGTCCAGTGGCCGAAGTGACCGTGGAAAACGTGATATTTGAGACTCGAGGCTTGGAGCTCTGAAATCGGTTGAATGAATGTTTCAAAAGCTTCCGGAAGTCAGTTTAATCTGCATCAGCAGACTTAAAATTTCTTGAGGTCATTGTTTTTCAACAAAAATTAGTATCTTTGATCTTTAGTTCTTCAAATGAATGTTTCAAAATTATCAAGAACTGATCAAACCCTTGCCGCTAATTGTTCAAAAGTCATTTTCTTTTTGTTCTGAGTTTTGAAAAGTGCTTGTTTCAAAATTTCGGTAATTGCTTTGATTCCTACCATTTCTAGTCGGTAAAGGTAGTAAACTTTTAGTTTTGGATTTTGAAAAGTGAATGTTTCAAAGAGCCTCTGAACTCTGCATTAAACAATACCTAACACATTTGTGAATACAGAGAACGGAAATTTTCTCGATTTCATCCAGGCATTGTTTCTTCGTTGTTGCAAGAACAAATATGTACTAGAACCAAAGGAACCTACTCCCTAACCTATTCCCCCCAAAAAGTTGAAAAGTCTTGGGTTAAAATTCAAAATAAGTTGCAATTTCTGCCGGCTAACTGAAATTTTGAAGAGATTTGACCACTTCAATGGCGTTTTTTTTTCAAGATTTCTTGCTATGGAAGCAGAATTTCCCAAGCTCTATCTTTTGGTCTAAAAACCCCTCAAAAAATAGACGTTGAAGTGATCAAACCTCGTTTTTCCGTTGTACACCTATTGACAATTTAGCCGACAAATGAACAGCTTGATGTCCCGATGACGGTAAGATCTTATGCTTGAATCATTGACTTTTTCCACTAAACTAACCCTACAAGTATTGTCAAACAATAGTAATAACCGATCCAGTCAAACTTGAAACTCGCAAAAGTAAACTCGCCTCCAAGTGCTCTTTCGAGTCGTGGTGTCTGAGAAAAGCTCGCAACGAGATACAGTTTAATACCATGGCACTCATTTGGTAAAAAGACAGTCAGTCAAGGGTTTTTGGGTAGTAAATAGCTTCAGTGTGACTGAAAGAACACAGTGAAAACTAGGAATAAAAAATTAAATGATAATTGGGATAAAAATATAGAAAAATCACTGGATTGGAAGCCATCAGGACGTTTAAAAAGCAAGTTTCAAAGTTGCTAAGATGAAAACCGTCGTGGCGGATTGTTTAAATGCAAAAATTTTGTAAAACTTTGAAGTCCAGGCTCTTCTCTCACCTACAGTATCCCAGGACAAAATTATTAGTCTGACTGAATATCTTTCAAATTCTCCAATTCAAAGAGATTGTATTCTTGTAGAAGTATTCAATAAGAAGTATTCAAATTTAAGTTCAAAAAAAATAAAGTTTCAAAATGAAACGCATCAACAGATGCCATTTTTGGTTAGCAACAGTAAAAGCAGATTTGAAAAATGAAAATTAATAAAAGAAGTAAAGCCTGGTTACAGAGCTTTACCAGGCTTTACAAAGAAGTGAAGCCTGGTAAAGCCTGGTTTCTCAATTCAAAGAATCCTTTTGAAAGTTCAAAACATCATAGCAAATTCTGTTGTTGCCAAACAAGGAAAACTTCCCGAAATCAAAAAGCTTCAATTGAAAATTCGAAAATTCGAAAATTCTCAGTTGGTCAAAGAAAAAGATGAGTATTTTTCCGGCTTATTTTCCGCAAAAATGCCCAGATTTTTTGGGTCGTAAAAACAAAATTTTCGGGTGATAAAAGAAAGGAAAAAAGCTTTTCAAGGGAACGGCTTGGGGAGCGTGAAGCGGGAAGCGAAAGAAGCGTGAAAATGGGAAAGAGGAAAATCCTTTTGCCCAGGCCTTTAGGCTTTTCTCTTAGCCCACCCGAAACTCCCCGGCTATACGAATATTTTGAAACTAAAGGCTTTATGTGCAAAATTTGAATCAAAAATAGATGAAAGCTTGATTAGCAACCAAAGTTAGATCAACTTTGGTTGCATAAAAAAAACCGAGTTTCAACTTGGTCCGGAAGAAATCTTTCTGATTGACCTTAATCTTTCTTATCTTTCTGATTGACCTCAAATATAGCTAAATCATTTCTCTTATCCAATCGGTTTTCTAAAATGCACGCATTTCAGCTAAAACTACCGTAATCGACTTATTTTCATTCGATAATTGGATGAGAATCTGAAATCATTCACAAGAAAAGCAAAAAGACAATTAAAAAGGCTTTCCAAAATTTTAACAATGAATAAAAATAAGCCCAAAGGATTGGAGAGAAAAGAGAAAAGTTCGAAAATTCACCGAATAATGCTTTTCCTTTGTATTATTTAAACGCAAATTTCATGTTTACAAAACTCACGAAACTTTTTTCAGAAATCAAGTTTTAAAATAAACACCTTCAGCGGAAAAAAAGAGTCTGTTTCAAATTTAGCAGTGTTCATCAATGCCTTAGATTTCTATCAATTTTTTTAAATAAACCAAAAACTCGTTTGCTGAAGATGAATACACAGTGAAAGTTTCAATAAATTTGAAACTAAAGATTTTAGAAACCTAACATTAACACTTTTCAATAAAAAAACAAAAAGCCGAAGCTAGAAAATAATTTGATCGTTTGAAATTTCAATTTTTCAATGAGAAAATGTGAATTTCTCGAAAACAAAGCGATATTTTCATAAATAATTCACTGTTTTTCTCTTTTTTCGCCTTTTCCCACAATTGATCTCTGTTTTCTTATATTGCAGCTGGGAGAAGAGTTTTGTTTTGTTGCATTTGTTTTGTCTCAATATTCGGACATTTCAGGTACATTTTCTATTAGTTCATTAGTTTTATGAGTTTTACAAGTGGATTAGAGGTGAGATTGTTTTTCTGGAGAAGTTGATTAAGTTAACGCCGTTTTGGTGCCAGATCAGAGCCAAAAGCCAGCCAAAACTTATTCGAAACGTGTTTCCCAAGCTGTTTTCTAAGCTGTTTCTTAAAGCGTTTCCCTTTTCCCCTTTCTACCGTAATCTTGTCTCTATTTTTATCGAATCTATCCACTTTTTGTCTGATTTTTTGAGGGTTTACAAAAGATAAAATAGAAAGACACAAAAGACAAGATTACGGTAGAAATAGGGAACAACAAATCTCGAAAACATTGTGGAAAGCTCGAATTTAGTTAAATCGCAGTATGTAAAGACTTAAAACAAGACTTTTTTATATGATTTACATGTTTTTAATAATGAAATCCCGAGCTTTACTCTTTCCACCTGATCTTTCGTCTCCGAGTCCAGACACGAGTGCAGACACTGTTTCGCCCGGCTATCCAGCCCAAACACTTTCGCGAATTTCTTCTTGAATAACGCCGAATAGATCAGGGTATCCGAGTGGTGATGAGGCAATGATTGAGATGACAGTTTTGAGGCTTTCAGTGAAAACATTCTTGTAACAAGCTAGAAACACATCCACATTTGCAATGATCAGATTATCAAGCACAATAATGGCCAAAAACAAGATTTGACAAATTGAGAAAACAATGAAAGCATGAGGAACAATGTAAAGCTTCTAATAGACTGTAGTTTTCAATTTGTTTTACAAGTGTGCTCAAAAGTTATGGTTACAAGAGAATTTGGCTCAAGGTTAAACAGCTCGATTTTCTTTTTAGCAAAAGAAAATCGAGCGTTTAAATCATCCAATTACAAGAAAAAGATGAATACAAAATGCTGCTATTGTAAAGAGATTCTTCTAGAATTGAAAATAAGATTTCTAATTGAATTCGAAAGCTTTTTAAAGCTCGAAGCTCGAAAACACTAGACTTTACCGTGTTTTCTCGGAAATTTTGGGTCTTTGATTGGAAAACGCCCAAAAATGGCCCCATTTTACTCGACGACAACTTATTTCTGATTTGGCTAATTTGAAAGTCAGATCAGCGCTTGGAAAGTAAGAAAAAGGCAGAAGACATCAATGACGAGACGAAAGAAAAACTTGAAAAAAGTTGGGTTTCAAAAAAAGCTCTTTTGCCTTGCTTTGCTTCTGCCTAATGAGGCCATCCGAAGCACTTTTTTTTCTTGGTTCTTCCTTTTCTTTTCTGGATTTCTTTACAATTTTTCCAATTTGGGTTCGGATTTGGAATTTTTATTGTCATATTTTGAAACTTGATCAAAATTTTGAGTGAAACGGTTTCAAAAAAAGGAAATTCCATGACAATAAGCTTTCTAGGGGCTTTCTAAGAGCTTGGCACATCATTGGAAAAATGTTTTTGGGGCACATCAGATGAAATCTTACTTTGCTGAATGAAAAGAATTCAAAACTGGTAGTTTTTGCGAGAAACTGATACCGGATTTGAATTCCCCAGAGAGCTTTTGGAAAAGTGACTCATTTCGAAAAAAACTGACCTAAAACTGACCTAGAACCAAAAAAACTGACCTATTGAAAATTTGAATTCTGGAAGAAGTCAGAAGTGCATTGATGGAACGGTTAAACGCTTGATGGCATCAAATTTAAAGGCTGATTTCCTTGAGACGTGCAAAGCAGTTGCAATGCAGTAGTTTGGCTCAAATTAGACTCGATTTGAAAGTGTTTCAAAGTTGAGTTTCAAAAAAGCTACTCTAATATTTGAAGCCTCTTCAATTTTTACAAATTCTTTCTACTAGCGGTAAACTTTTTTGGGAATAGTTGAAAGGAAAGAAAGATACAAGAACTAAAGAAGATTCATCACTGAAAATGAGTTACAATTTTTGGAAAGCAACTAAAAATCTAAAAATTGGCAAATCAATAAAAAAAACTCGATTTTTGTCGAAATCTGAAAATCTTTTTTTGTTTAAATTTCTCACGTCAATTTTCCCATTTTCTTTTTTTTTCTTTTTTTGCGGCTAATCCGGCTTGATGAAAATCTTTTGAATGAAAATGAAAATGTTAATCCGGGAAAGTTGTTGTACTATTGTACTATCATTTTTCCCTTCTCGAACAAACCACAACTTGGCTACAACACCTTTGTTGTACCCAAGGTGTTATACCCAAGTTGTGGTTTGTTCGAGAAGGGAAAAATGATAGTACAACACCTAAAAAGATCTGAAACCATTAATCAAAATTGGCTATCGATTTGACTGGTTT